TTATGAGAAATAAACAATAATCAATTCAAGGGAAACCCATTGCCACCAATTTAACAAACAGGTTCTCAAATCTAGCAGGTTCTGAGCTCTTTGATTCCACTTCAAACACTGCTTTGCATGCCATGATTATGCTCCTGTACTAGATTACTTCATTTGCAATTTGAATTATGAGAAACTCATATGACAGAAAAATGTGTGCCATTCCTTTTCTGCTCTGCCTGTATTATAGAATCTTTGAGACCTTTAAATGAGATGAGTCACATCTTAGTATTCTTTGAGTCTTGGATAACTTACTTAACCCAACTCATGCTCACTTAAGGAAACAATGAGACAAAAGGGTAGAAGAATTGAAAGAAAATAAAAGAAATAGAGAAGATAGAGCATCATTGTCTGTGCTGACTACTTTGTAAACCATGAATGTCTCTTACACTTCAAATATCTCAACAGAATCTACCGACTCAGGGTCCTCTGCTTCTAGATGTAAATCCACTGATATTGGTTGAGTATATTTTTCTGTTGTGTCCGTCTGAAGACTCACAACATGCCACTGGCTACAGAAAGGTCATACATCCATTACTCAGCCAATCACAGCATCAGGAAGATACTTATTCAAGTAAACTTGCACCAGGCACACAGCCACTGAGAAGAGAGACTTAGACGGTGCATTCTCAGATAGAAATTAGAATAAGTAGGCCAGACATGATAAGCAGACAGAATATAGGTGTCTTCTCCTCTCACCTGAAGGTGTTGGACTTGACACAAATTTACTCCAGTTTCTTACCTTTAGTAAGATACATTTAACTCCAAACCCTCTTATCAGTCCTTCCTCCAGATGACCGCCTCACTGACGTAGTCTGTTTCCATGCTCCAGTAAAGGAAAGTGGAACAAACCTAAATCTAACTCCTGCTCTGCCTCCTCTTCACTCTTCCAAGTGTGGGATCAGAGCCAGATCTAAGTGGCTTCTGGGACAACTGAAAGTGTTCTGTAAATAAAATGCTTAATTTCAACTTCAAGCTGTTAGTCACTAAGTGCTCTTCTTTGTGAAGGAATGAAGGATCTGTCCTGGAAATGACACTGGGCACCATGGGAGTATAATGTTTCTATTTTAGAAACACAAACAAACGAACCACCACCAACAACAACAAAAATATCTATGCAAGTAGAGAAAGAAATCTTGGGGGCAGAGATAGAGTTCCAGAGGTGTTCCCGTTATATTCTGCTCTTTAGAGTGTTATGAAAGAATTGACTCCAACTTACTGATGACCTATAAAGAGACAAATTCGATTTTTATTATCACAAAATTTATTTCATTAAACCCCTCTCTATTGAGCATCTGCATTGCTCTCAGCACAATGCAGAATTCTTGAAGATATAACAGTGAACTACTCAGACTTCCTTTTATGTTTCCTCAAAAATATTGTCTGATAAATGACAAATAGCAAGAAAATTAGTATAATTTTCTGTCTTCAGAATTTTAATGAAACTAACGTATCAGAAGGAAAGACAAGCGAGGTCATCTGTCCCTGCTCTCTGCCACTGTAGTACTGACAATGTCGTTCTTTGGCCTTGGCCTCCGGGCCCTATTTTTCTTGCCATTGGGAGGATGTGACTGTTTCTGTAAATGTGGTGCCCTTCTTTCATTTGTGTTGATGTGATAAAATATCCTGACCCAAAGTAACTTATGGAAGAGAGGAGTTATCTCAGCATACAATTCCAAATTTGAGTTCATCACTTGAGGGAAGTCAAGGCAGGAATGTGAGTAGGTCTGACATCATATCCACATTCAAGGGCAGAGAATGATTGGCATGGTTCCTTGCTAGCTCAAGTATTGTCAGCTTGCTTTCACCTCTCTTTACATTGTTCAGGACATTTTGTCTGGAGAATGATGCTGGTCTTCCAATATCAATTAACAATCTAGACAATTACCCATAGTCATGCCCATAGACAAATTTGTATGAGAAAAATTCCTTCATAAGACTGCCCTCCCGGGTGATGTTAGGTATACTAAAATGAACTGACATTAAGGGTGTATGTAGTAATGTCCATTAGCCTATTGTTCTTTCTCTATCCTCACCCCCAAAATGAAATACAACTTCTGTTCATCTCATCTCAACATTTGGAAACAATTCAGTGAAGTTAATGAAATCATAGAGTGAGTTCCAGGACAGGCAGAGTGACCCAGATAAACCCTGACTCTAAAAAATGAAAGTCGAAAACAGTCTTCTAGTGAAGAGGTCTCTGCCCAAGAGTAGCAGCTCCTCAGTTATCCACACAGGTATTCCATATGCCTCACCTCTCTCCACTACTACCTCCTTCTTCAGCCTGGAAAGACCTCCAATAAGATGGAGATAATTGGGTTTACCTAGGGAAAGATCATCTCCTGAGTCGATTCTAGAAGATCAGATTTAATCATCAAGAGAACATCGGTTATACTTTTATGAGATCAGCTATGCATTTTGGAGTGCTTCCTATGTGTCATGTAAGGCAGCATGTGTAAGTCAACATAGTAGCCTTTCCCTTGGCATGGTTATTCATTGTTGTTGTTGTTTTTGTTGTTGTTGTTGTTATTTCCATGTTCCTGGTTTATGCATCTCACTATAACTGTCACACTTCATGACAATCAGCTTGAATTGTGCTTAGTGTCTACCTTCTTACATGTTTCCTTTCAGTTAATTTCCTCACGTACTATCTTAGCTTTCAATACAGACAAAGGAATGTTTAGCTTTCTAATATCAAAAAGAATCTATGGAAAACTACAGTTTGACTTGTACCAACTGTTGTGTCTGGAAGCTGCCCTTGCCATGCAGACTCTGCAGCAGTGTGGTCTTTCTCGGTACTCAATCTATCCATAATATTCACTCTGCTAAAGACACTGAACAGATCTCTTAAATTTGTAAATGAAAAAGAAATACATGATAAGGCTCCAGGGATCATTGAATTCAACTCTTGAATTTTATACATAATAAGATAGAAACTCATTGAAGTTAGATAAATCATCCAAGGATAATTTGTGTAAAACTTAGAAAAGATTACTTTTTGATGGGTTCCAATACTCTTATTATGGTTACTACTATTGTTTCACACAATTAACAGCCAAGGCTACCATTGACTTGTAACCTTTCTTACTACTCTAACAGTCTGGAATAAGGCAAACATCCTGGTGTTGGAATGAGAGAAGCTCTGAAAATCATTAAAGAAAAATTTGAATGCTAAAAAGTGTTTCCCGTATGGGTAAAAGCACAGTAAACACAAATAACAGAGAGCAGATGCAGTGTTGGAGCCACAGGGAGTGGTGAAAAGTTATATCATCTTACTTGTAAATTTGAATTGTTAAAAGATGAAGCTTTGAGTTTATAGTTTTTCTTGGGGACCAAGTGTCTGGGAGGAACGTTCAGGTGAACACCCTTACCTGTAAACAGAAGATGAGTACCTTGTTATAAGGAAGTTTCTGAGTATTTAGTGCAACAGTTGCTGCAGAGAATTGAACACAGAGGAAGCATTTCAGTGCCCCTTTTCTTCCTTAGGCAGAGACCTAAACAGTCATCACAACCACTGCTGTAGGAGTCAGTACTCTTATATCATATATGTATTTGAATTTCCAAACTTTATAAACGTCCCAAAATAATTGTTATAGCACTGTTGTTTAGTCTACCCAGTAAGTAAAATTATAGCTTAAACAAATACAGAATATTTGATAAGGGGGCAGAGATTAATTGATCAACTATTATGCTCTATAACTTCTATATTTTATAGCATTTATTTTTCAAAAGGTCTTAGTTTTGAAATTATAGTATAAGACCATCAAAATACATATAAAAGCTAATTACTAATATGTAGTTCTTATTATATTTTGCTTTCTGCATAATCTATGCTCACACTATTATATCATGTAACAGTTTGTTTATATCTCCTGTCTCTATCATTTGTCCCTTCATTAGTCAGGTTTTCCTTATTTTATTTATTTATTACTTTTTGTTAACTCTTACTTTATATATAGCATTTCAATTTATATGTTAGTAATATTATAATAGAATAGTTTTATATTTTTAAAGACTTTTTTGTTTTTATTGTATGTGTATGAGTATTCTGCCTGAGTATTATATATGTGTAACACATGTGTGAGGTGCTCATGGAGGCCAGGATAAGGCATTGAATTTTCTAGAACTAGATTACAGATGCTTGAAAGCTACTATGTACATGCTGGGAACCAAGGCCCAGGGAAAATTTCAGATTATTAAATCTTGCCTCACACAAGAATTTAAAAAAAAATTATGTGGATCAATGTGTCAAATGTATTTGGTGACCCCCTCGTGTTAGATTCATACATGTTGGATTCTTGAGGAACATACAAAAATACTCTACTTCTCAATCAATGCACAGAAAGTTGGACTTACTCTTTCTTATTTTGTAATTAAAATGAAAGGATAATGGGTATGTGGGCATGTATCTCAGTGGTAGGACACTTACTTATAGTGATAAAGGCTCCAGGTATAGTCCCCAACATGACCAGAAAGGAAGAAAAAAATGATAGTGGCTATACCTTGATTCTCAAAATAAATACACTCAGTAAATATATGTTGCATAAATGTGTGAATATAATTTGATGACTAATTCCCTACCATTATACCATACATAATAAAGTTGAATTGTGCATCTGTTTATGTCAATGTTATAAATTATGTAAAGGGATGTTTCTCGACTTCTATTTCTCTGCATGGGGTAAGTAGAAATTTTAAAGCTGATGCTAGTTAATCCATTACAATTACATTATAAGAATCCTCTGGGATTGAATATATACCATCTAGTAAATGAGAAACCTGAACGTCAAATAGCTCATAGTGGCAGAGTTTCAATTAAAAGTCAAGCATTCTCAATAAGAAAGCTCTTTGTCACTGTGATAGACAGTCCTCCAAGTGCCTGTAGTAGTTCCTTGTAGTACAAGCATTAACAAAGGCTTATGATTTCAAATGTACCTCTTTCTGATTCTTCTTCCTTACAGATGGACCCCCATGAGAACATCTTACTCAGCACCCTTGAGATAAAAAACGAGATGGCCACATCAGAAGCAGTAATGGGACTTGGAGACCCCAGGAGCACAATGCTTGCCTATGATGCCTCCAGCATCCAGTATCGGAAAGCTGGGTTGCCTAGGCATAGTTTTGGCCGCAACGCTCTGGAGCGACATGTGGCACAAAAGAAAAGTCGCCTGAGGAGACGTGCCTCTCAACTGAAAATCACCATCCCCGACTTGACTGATGTGAACGCCATTGATCGGTGGTCCCGCATTTTCTTCCCTGTGGTGTTTTCCTTCTTCAACATTGTCTATTGGCTTTATTATGTGAACTAAACTACAGCCTCCCATGAGAAGCAAGGACTAGATTCCTCTTCAAACAGTTGTACAGCCTGATGTAGGACTTGGAAAACACATCAATTCAGGACAAAAAGTGATGTTAAAATACCTTAGTTGCTGGCCTATCCTGTGGTCCATTTCATACCATTTGGGTTGCTTCTACTAAGTAATGAATACACTAAGGTCCTCGTGGTTTTCCAGCTACAATGCAAGTGATTTGTACACATGCTGGCAAGATCAAGTGTGAATTATTCCACTTTATCAGTTTTAGTACACAGCCTACTCAGTGGGTTATTATCTAGATTCTAGAAGATGCTAAAAAGCTCAATCTCACGGGCAGTCAATTCTCTGAGACACGGCCATTTCGAAATGTCCTCCATCATTGTTCCTAAGATTGGCATGCAGTTGGGACACCACTGTGCATATGAAACATTATCTGCAATAATGCAAACATGCTACTCCAGTATGGGGTTTGAGGTCTGAGCCAGATGATGATGATGTCACGGAATGGTGATTCTCAAGGGCCTAATAGATTAGTATGCATTTTGAGCACAATCAGTATAGGGAGGTTGGACAAAGATTCAAAGAAGAAACTCAGGAATCCAGTTTATCTGGTCTGTTTGATTGCCAATAAAGAACCGGCCGGCCGGCATAGCTTTCAAGTGGGCCTTAGGGAGAGGAAGATTTCTGAGCAGACCAGGTGCAGCAGCCACAGTTAACATTTTGCCGAAAAGCTGTTTCCCATGTGGTTAAAATAAAAGTTAACAGCACAGAGCAGGGTCAAAAGTCCAGAAACGACTGTGGTTAAGAGAGTAAAACAACCAAGTGTGACCCTTATCACTGCAACACAGAATGTGGTCTGAACACAGAGCTGAGCAGAAAGACTAGAAAAAGACATTGATTTGCCCTTGTCATGAGCTTAGCACACTTTACGAGGATTTTTATAAATCATTCATTTCATCAAAAAGTAGCTATCAAATAGAAAAGTGGAGGGAATTAGAAGTACCTTGATAGCTTATATTGAGAATCATTCTAACAGTCAAGCATAGAGTACAGATGAACAGGTCACTTTTCTCAGTGTCAGCTGCCCTTACATTGACCTCTTCTAGGTTTATATCAGATTGGAATACAATATTTTAAAAAAGGGAATTTGTTCCTTACCCTGAAGGTTTAGTCATCAACTTTTCTTGCATTTAAAATTTCTGATTTTACACTTAGGAGATAGCCCCAGTGAGGCTTTGCTGAGACCGTGTGAACTGGGTTTTCTTTTGTATTCTCCAAGGCTTGTGTGTGCACAAATGGAATCTGTGGGTCAGTGGGGTTTGATAATTTAAAGGGTGCTTACATTGTATATATTGCAATCTACTTAATCAAGCAAAACACGAAAAGTAGTGGACACTGGGATTAGAACAAGGCTGTGGTGTGCGAGTGTTGTCCTCTCAGCTCATGGTTCGAAACTGGAGATGACTGAGAAGCAGGCTGCTGTGATGGCTTGTCTTTGTTCTGCTTTTCAAATTTTGTCATTGTGCATCTTTCTATATCGGGCACACACATTATTTACAGAAAAGAGAATAGGGTAACATATCTTATTTTTTTGGCAATGGGGAGGGGTTGTTCTATTTGGTTTTTACCTATAGAAAATACTAAATTACTATGTTTTCTATCAAATTGATTTTGATTGACCTTTACCTCAGAGGATGACTTTGCTACATCTACTTTTAAAACAATCAAAGAATTATTCTGTCTTCAGAGTAGGATCCCCAGTTAAGTGTATAGGGGTCATGGCTAGTATCATTTTGCAGATGAATCTTTCCCCTCATGATTCAAAAAAAACCTAGGATAGCAAGCATTATTGTGTGCTTCTATTCCAACAATTAAAGAAAAACAAGAAAAATAAATAAAAATTCATCATTCATTTTCTAAATTTAACAAAGATGGGATGGTAGGTTTTTATGGGGTTTCTGTTGTTTTGTGGTTATTATTAATTTATTTTTTTCTATTTTTTTTTCCAATCAGTATTGGAATGTCTGGCTCCTGTGTTTTCATTATGTGCTTAACACTTTTGAGTTTGAGTTACAAGGCTACAGATATGACTGAGGATGTTCACATGTGCTCAGAGTAAAGAGTTTTTGAGTTTCTCCAGGGCTTTCTCCTACAAAATTATTTGAGGGGGTATCACAGTAATAAAAGTGCCTATCCCTTGTCACCAGGGGTGAAGTCTGAGTAGAAAACTAAGGAAGAAGTATAACCTTAATCTCAGGGGCACACCTGTGACATGCCATTCTGAAAAGATTTTTCTAAAGACAATTCAGAGCCGAAGTCTAGGCTCCAATCTGCAATTTCCATAAAAGCCATAACAAAGATCTTGATATTGTCATTTGTGATTATAACAAAATCTTAGATGTCCAGGAAAGTCAATCACATAATTTATATCAAAATGGAGAGAAGCAGCCTCACAGGGTAGGCTTCACATGCTTATGACCAGCAAACAGATTTCTGGTCTAACTAATGCAGAGAAAAGACGGGACCTTTCAATCAATGCCCTATAGTGAAACCATATGTTGACATTTAATATCCATATAGGTAAAGAACACTGACTCCTCCCATCCAGGAATAAGAGTCCATGTAGAATTTATTTTTAAGCTATGTATTTAGTTGAATTAGAATGCAGGAAAGGGTGCTAGGCCTGATGAATCTGGGAAAACCAATTAGTTTGTTACCCAGTAATTAAACTAATGGACCACCAAGGTGTGTTTTGACAATCTTGAAATGATATTACTAACCGTTTATACATATGTATAGGTTTTTTTTCCTTTTGATTATATAATAGCCAGATAGCCAGCAATTAAGGTGTTTTTCATCTTTGAGAAATTAGTAGGCAAATTCTGACTCTCAAATGCACAGTCTAAACAAAATCTCTGATCTCAATTTGTATATATATATTGTACATGACTGCTTGTAGGTATGAAATGCACCTCCGAATTGAAATCTCATGCAGCATACCCATGTGTTTGCATAGGAATGTTACAATTATTTCTACTGCAATTTAACAACAGAGAATAGGACTCAAGCAGTGTCATCTAGTCCTTCTGTCTCTTCATTTCAACAAGAGCAGTGCTAAGTAAAATAATAACAACAATAATAATAATAACGATTTTTTAAAAAAAAACCAAAAGACACTACATTCTAGGATTAGGACCACACAGAAGTGATCTGTCAGCTTACAAAAGCACAAGACATCAAAAAAGTGCAGTGGAATTTCTAATGGAGAAATAAATCACAGGTATTTTAAGCAAGACCTGCTTTAAATCGGCAACTCTGACCAATTTCGTTTTCTGTAGGTCACTGTGTTTCAGTCTTATAGGTAACTTCATGGTCAAAAACTGAAAACATCAACACAGACAGGTCTTAGAGCATATCTACATGTGTATATGTGTATATAGAGATACATGTAAACACACATGCATATGTATGCATTCATATGTCAGAAACAAAAGGAATAAGCTAATGAGTTATTTCCTTCATTGAGCCTGTATATGACTATCTTTTTTTAATTTGGCCACCAACAGTCATCATTCTGAAATAAGTAATACAGGGTACTGAACATCTTTCTCAACAAATCAATGCCTACAGTTCCTAAGAACATTGCACAGTTGGACACTACAATAGTACTGTACCTCAGAATATGAGATGTTAACTAGTTTCTTCATTGCTTGTCAAATGTCCATTTGCTCTCTTTTAAAGGACACAGATAATACTGTCCAATGTTGATTTAAAATTTAAAAGATAAAATTTTAAAAATGGGGAAAAATCCTCTTGAGAGGAGAAAAAAAACTACCCCTCACCATGATGGTCAGGGAAATTTACAACTGTAGCAATCATGCCATTTTGCTAAGTGTACAGAATCTCTTATGTAAGCAACCATAACTTTCACTGAGCGTGTGTAAATATTTAAACAGATTTCTTAAATATTTTTAACTTCTAATTTGTATTTTACGGTAAGGCAATGTACTAATTCTGTTTATGGCTTACTTTGACGTGCTACATTCTGTACATAATTAAAGATGCTGTAAATTAATAGTCAATAGATACAAATAATTGCTTAGGGTATTTTTTGTCTTAATTTTATCGATTTATTTTTTACTAAGTATGTTTACTGCAGTGCCCCAGCAGAGTAATTTAAACACCCTTTTGCATAAATGATTTGGGAATCCCGGACAGAAGGGTTTCCACTGCTGTTACTCACAAACAGGTATGAATACACACACACACACACACACACACACACACACACACACACCATCTTCTACAACCTGCTTTTCACTCCCATTTTTTCTCCCTCTCAGTGGGAAATGTAGTATTGTTTTGGTATCATATTAAGAAGCAAGAGATACTTTTACGACGGTAAATGGAAAAAAGAAGTGGTTAGGGTTAACTTAATAGTTTTTATATGCTAGAGAAAAGAAGCCAAAGTTCGCAAACTGTAGCTAATCCCCCAAAAGTAGACATTTATAGCAGCACTGCAGATAACAACAAAATTATTCATACCAGCTCCACAAATTTGTTACATACGATGTATGCTGGAAGAGGTTTTTTTTTTTAGTATATACTAGCGTTTGTCTTTAGATAGTATTATTCCTTTCAACCAAAGACTCCAGAATTATTTTGCAAAAGTAAAGAAAAAAAAGAAAGAAAGGAAATGGAAAAAAAAAGTCACTGCTTCACACCAAAGTTTAAATAATTTTTCCAAATGCAGTAGGGAGATGGTTTTTAAAAAAATAGGAAGGAGTCAATAGAGAGCAAATTCCGAAGCCACCCTGAGCAAATTATTGTTTGTTTGTGTGTCTGTTTGTGTTTTTAAGTTGGAAAAAAATTAAACCTTTCGTTTAATTTTAAATAGCTTTAGTTATGGGAAATTCATTGAGAACATTTTTCTAGATATGTGCAAGATTTTGACATCAAGGAGTACTTTTATGATAAACATTCAAACTGATGAAAACCAAAAGTTTATTTTGAGTTCTAAAGTGAAATGCCACCTACATCTGAGGCCGCACCCCTGTCACTCACCATTTGAGTCAAGTCAACATTTCCATCAGCTTCGATTCTTTCCCATTTTATGTTTTGGTTCAGTGATTAACAGTCTATACATATCCGTTTAAGACACAATTGATTCAAACAAAGTTGCCTATAATTTAAATTCCATGCCACTTACAATTTTTCTTTGCATGGGTGTTTAAATAGTTCTGTTATAGAATTGTTCCTGCATAGTTCCAAATTGTCCGTTTCTAAGAAGTGATGTTCCAGTGTCTTCACAATGTAGTGATTATCAGCCTTACAACGACCTTGTAGCCTTTCTAAACATACACACACACACACATCATGCTCATTCCCTAATGGCTAGAAAATACAAAGCACTAGCGGGATTCATTGCATCCATTTTCACGTCTTTCTAACATCAGGACTTCTAAAAATCTCTGGGATACACGCGGTAGTAAAATTCAAAAGAGGATTATCAATGGATAGCACATAAGAATTATTTTCATGAATTTCAACTAATTGCAGCCAGTTTCAGCATGTAAATATATAATAATGTTGGCTAGTGTGTAATTCTTGACCTAAGAAATATAAATAAAAATTAAAAGTTCTATGTGTGGTTTTATTGTGCATGAATGTCAGCATGTGTGGCTTATATTGTAATAGTTTCTGAGAAACATGGGATTTTATAAGCTTGAAACTCAGTATCTTGCAGACTTCAACTTGAGCTTTTATGTGATGCCTGCAAGTGACAATTATATGCACACCTAATGCACTTACTCTTAGCTTTCTTGTTATTAAACTAGAGGCATAAATTTACCTTACTTTTAAGGTAGTGGTAAAGATGAAATGACGGATGTCCTCACACAGTACGAGATAGAGTAAGTTGTCTGTAAATAATATATGCTACTGTTTTTCGTTTATTGTCAACCTTGAACATTCAGCATATATTTCACAGATGTACTTCCCATCTCTAAAATGTCTCAGAAATTACCGTGTTTTATTAGTTTAGCTATAAGTATTATAGGTTAGAGATAACCAGTTAGGAGCTGGATGGGCTTTCTTTATGAAGACATAATAAGCATAAGATTTCATGTATTTAACCTTTAACAAGTATCTGAAGATGAATAACTAGATAGGAGATAGGATCCCTGAATCCTTAAAATATTCCTAATAGAAAACAGAACTCATGTTCAACAAAGAATGAGTATCTTGCTTATGTTTAGAAGTCCAATATGGGCTCACCCTCAAATTCTCACAAATAGATTTCTACTTCATCGCTAAAATGGGGTGACTAGGCTTGTCTGGTGTTCACTCACTTGGTTACTTTTCAAGAACCATTTGTGTCAGACCTAGCCACAAGTTTTCTGACATGGGGAAAACAGAGGTGAACAGTCATGATCCTGCCCGTCACACACAGCTGAGATTCTTAGGTCCAATGGATACTCTAGTGACTAATCCAGTATCTTTCACCCTTTCTTATTTTGGAATTCCAAATATTATTTTCATGGAAGATGTTACCCTGAAGGAAGTGTCCTTCCTGTATACAACTGTCCAGTAAAGTCACTGGTTTAATGCAGTTGTTGATCTCAAAGAGTAGATTCTATGGAAGAGGAAACATTTGTAGAATGCATTATGGCTCTGTTCTTTGTGTCTTTGTGTCTATAGTAAAAACTAAACTCTAGGCACATAAAACTCAATTATACTAGATAGCACGTGTGTGTGTGTGTGTGTGTATTATGTCAGAGGTTTTAATGAGAATGGGTAAAGCTGCTAAGAAAAACACAGTATTGAGGCAAATAAAGATATCTTTTAAAGTAAAATGGGACAGTTTTTCAAAGAGATTAGTAAGAAGGACAATAAGATACCTGTCAACCAAAACCTTAAACTTTATTCACTGATCATGGCCTGGAGAAATGGCACAACACAGAGAATATCACACAGAAGAACTTAGGCCAGGTTCAAAGCCCTGCCATGGGCATGCTACTAAAGCAAGAGAGGCCCGTGACCACAGCCAAAGAAGCAATCAGAATGCGCTATCTCAATAAAGATATTTGCCATGGTCAGCGTAGCTTCATTTAAGAAGACTCACTGTTCCTAGTCAGGACCTGGTTAGTCTGTGATCGGTGTAGAGCTGGAAGTGATCTGAAAGCAAGAAGATGGATTTGTTACAACAATTTAATATTTCCTGAAAGAGACATGCAGAAAGCTTACAAACTTTGAATATAGAATTAATATAGCCTGTACCCCTATGTCCCTATGTCTTACAGACCATAATACAGAAAGCTTAGTAGAAACTCTAAGCAGAAACTGTAATAGAAGACAGTACAGAGGCATTCATCTTTTGGCCTCCACATCAGCACACATGAGTATGAATAACTGCACACATATGGGGGGGGGGGCGGGGGGGGGGGGGGCACACACACACACACACACACACACACACACACACTTAATCCACACTTAATTTCGAAAATGAAAAGTGAGAAATTTGATCCTAACTGAAATAATACTGCAGTTGATAAAGCAGATTGAAAATCATGCCCCCAGAAAAATGAGAAAGGAAGTATAAATGTGTAAATGGGGAAAAGAAAGATAAAATTTGGAAATGGGTTCAGGTCCTGACACATCCAACCATGTCACATGTACTGTAATTACAATGGCATGACAGAGTGTGCAGGGGACTAGTCTCCTGCATAGAACAAAAAAGGATCACAGTGTGCACTGCATGCCCAGCTTGCTGACAACCAACCTCGTGTACTCAGTCCCTTTACAACTTTCTAGCTTCAGTGTAGCTTTGAGTGCCTCAGGTTCCTTAAGAGGGAAGTCAGGTTGAGGCCACATTTTTAAGAAACAAGTGAAGTGAAATCATCATTCCCAAGCTTCCTTTACATCTATAGTGAGAGAGCATATAGCGCACATGGGCAGAACTTAGAGGATGAGATTGCGGCGCTGGTCCTCTCCTTCTATCTTTAAGTAGTTTCTTGGGATCAAACTCAGGTTGCCCGACCACCTGAGCTACTTCTTCTGTCTAGTTTTGTGCTATTTTTTTCCTGTATTTTGAAAAGCCAAGAACTTCTAAATTCTAGATATTTTGATTGTCATCCCCAATTTATTTAAGAAGGGAAGGAGCCTTGAAATAAATCAAGTGAGTACATTAAATGTATCATCTGATGAATTTGAAAGCCAAGTTTTCTCACTCTATATAAGGGCCTTATTTTTCTGTCCTCATTAAAAACAGTTTTGAGTTTCACAATGCAAAGGTTTTCTTTCTTTCTTTCTTTCTTTCTTTCTTTCTTTCTTTCTTTCTTCCTTCCTTCCTTCCTTCCTTCCTTCCTTCCTTCCTTCCTTCCCTTCTTCTTCTTCTTCTTCTTCTTCTTCTTCTTCTTCTTCTTCTTCT